CCAAGAAAACTGGAATGATACTAAGCATATGGTTAAAGTAACTACTCATCCATCACAAGCTAAAGCTGGAAAATCTTCATGATATATGCCATGATCATATCTTACTGCTTAATGGAAAAATATGAGAAATTCTACATAGTGTTCAGGAGTAAAAATTCTCCATTATTGGTTTCATTCATTTTTTACAACACATGTAATCCCACAGATCACTTGGGCAGAGTGCCAGTGACACTGAATCTTTCTTATATTTTCTTGAGTACTAAATAATGTTTAGTGTAGTTGAAAATCTTTATCCTTTTGAAGATCGTTATGTATTAAAATATGATAATTACTACCTGAAGGCAGGCAGAATTTTCTCATCAGTCACATTCCACTTTTTTTCTGTCAAAGATGAAGATTTATGAGACAGGTGTTAACTTCACCATGAAACAGGCACTGAACTACCTGTCTGATTGGAAATATCATTTTCTGAACAAGGTGTGCAATCAAAACAACAAGTAGGCTTTCCCTCCAGAGGGTTTTTACTGAGTCCAGGGCTACAACTCTCGCTGCACTGAGCATGGCATCTGAGAAAAATCAGATGGATGTAGGTCATAGTTGGTCCTGGACAATCTATGCTCTTAAATTGTAAGTACCTGTTTCTAATACACTGATTGCATGCCATATTGACTCTGTGCCATGAAATAGACTCAAAACATGTGGAAGAACAAGTGTCTTTATTATCCTTCCTCAGATGCCACAAACACGAGAAACATATATAGGTTGGAAGGGGAATGGATTAATGTCTATAAAGGTCTTTTTATTAAGCCAAGTGACACAAAATACCATACCAATGGTGGGTAACAATGTGTAGTGTGAATCTTAAAATTAGGAACAGCTTACCCCTCTAATATCTGTGGCCCACTCTATTACATCCTCAAAGAGAGACAACTATTGCTCATGGGGAGGAAACACTATTTTCACCTTACATCCAACACCTTTTGGAAAATTCCAGAAGTTGAGAATGCCATACTCAAAATCCAATTTTCTCTTTTGATTCAAATTCAGTAGGTTACCAGCAGGATTGGCAAGTTGGAGTTGCTTGAGAAACAGGTGCAGCTAAAAAGAATGTGCCATCCTCTCATGTGACTGTTCAAAAATTTGTACAACAAATTCAAGTTAGAGAAAGTACCTCTTGATCTGTAATCACAGCTACACAAAGGAACACATTTGAAGCAACCCTATGAATTCAAAGAAACCAGATACAGAACTATGTCACAATAAGTCAGATTTCAATCATTTTCATTAAAAAACATGAGCAATCAAAATCACTAGGTGTGAGATTTGGACAAATCTAGACTCTATTACTTTCTCCATGATTCTATGACAACAGACAGTAAAATGAAGCTACCCACATACAAATGTGTGCAAATTACCTAAGATTATTAACTCCAATATCCCTGAACACCTCAGCACCATCTGACACTAGAAGTAATTCTCCTACTGCTTAGTTTTAAAATAGAGACAAAGTCTAGGTATTTCATATACATAAACATTAAATAGAGAATATCCTGCATTCTTTTTCACACAGCACTGATACTTATCCACCGATGCTTTCACAGTAGTCAATGGAACCTTGTTGCTGAAGACAAAGTTAATGAAAGGGGCACATTTATATTCTAGACACTGAAACAACTGCATGATTTCTGGTGTTTTCAGAAAGCATCCCAAGCTATTTGGTTTGAACACCTGCAGAAGCTCTTAAGGGGATCACTTCAGGAGTACATGTCATGCATTGGAAACCAAGTTACCTGCTAGCGAGAAAATGCCACCTTTGTCCCATTGTTCACTGGCTGCATTTCTAACTCTTGTAGAAGCATCTCATGTACGCTGTGGGACACAGCATACACAGAATTGTATATGGTCATATCAAAATGAAGCATAGGCAACCATTCCAAGGAGGCATTCAGTGGACAGTTATGCAAGGTTTTGCAAGTTGTCCCAGTAACTGAGCAATCAAAAACCAGCAACCAGAATCTGGAGAGGTAAATGTCTTCTGGGTATTTGGAAGGGTTTGGTGTCTGAAGAAAATTTTTGAAACCCGAGATCTCACTATGGTGGTGTGAAAACATGAGAGTCCCATGGAATGAGTGGAGCAGAAAAAGTCTCCAGTTGGTGGCAAAATCCCAATTTGAGGTGGTGACTCAGACTTTCAATGTCATTAAATCTTCCCATGAGAAAATCTGTGTCACAGAAAGGAATAACCACCTTTGCTGATGATTTTAGGATCTGGATGTGATACAGCCAGGGGATACAAGATCATGAATCCTCAGTGGGTGGAATAAATTCCAAAAGTCTAGGTAGATACCATTCTGCTGCATCTCAATTTTCAAATCAGAAATAAACTGAGTACCTTTTGGGAGGTCTGAGATGGCCAAACCCACCCAGATGCAACTGAAATGGAGCATCAGGGAGACCATGCCAAGGGCCAGAGAAGTGTCTTTGGGGACCATCTGATAGAGGGAAGCTAACTGACCACTGTCACTCAGAAGCAGTTCAAAAGACCCAAGAGTCAGCTAAAGGAAAATGCAAGAAATATGTGTAAGGTTATTGCCAGAATATACAATCTTATTTCTGAAGGTAATTAAGCAAATGTTTGAAGTGTCACAGGTATTTGAATATTTCATTTTTCTCATCTCCCACTACATGAGAACTTCCTCAGTCATGAGTTTAGACTCACAGGTTGAGGAAAATGTTTCCATTTTCACTTCACCACACCTCTGTACCAAGCAAATGTGGTTACTCCTCCAAAACTCTGCATGGCTCCTCTTTATATTACACATTGTGGCTAAAGCATAAGGTGTCAGTCATTTCCCTTTTTCCTCTGAGTAAGGCAGTTAAGGTGATGTGATTTTTTCCCCTCTCTTTCCTGTAAACACTCACCTGTGGAGTTTTGTAGAGTTCTAGCAGTGTCCCTATTTGGACACTAATGCTTATTCCTGAAATCCTGGCTACAGACTTGCTCTTTCCTACACATGTAATTAGGAATGTCCTATTCCAGGCCCACAAGCCACAGGAAGGGATTCCCTGTCACCATCATGTCACTGTGCATGCCATTATAGAGATCAAATTCCAAGGTCATGTTGGGTAAAAAATGGGGGTTCTGTTTGATGATCTCAATATCAAAAACCAAGGCCAGAACATACTGGTAGTTTTTGGACTGAAATCTGCAGGAAAGGCACAAGGATCATTAAGGGAGAAGCATCCAATCCAGATTATCATCAATTGCATTCCCATAACTATTACAATTGGACTATCCTGGCAAAAATACATAAGTTCTAATCATTCTTTTTACACCTACTGAGGACAGAGTGTGAAGACTGTCATATTTGCTGCAGGACACACCCTCACAAGAATCAATGCTGTTACTTCCTTCATCCTGGTCTTTTAGTCTAAATGATTCTGAAAATAAACTCTGCTATTACATCATAAAGTCTTGGGCATGTTATCACCTGGCTACCATGCAGCCAAAGAACATGATCTTTTTGTATGCCTACCTCATCAATTTAATTCATTTCTGGCAACATCTTCTAAGTTATGATATTTGATATCTAAAGTAAATATTACAATATACTCTGGAATGCCCTCTCTACATTTCTTGCAAATAGAGGAAATGGATTCAACTTGTTAATGAACACATAAATAATGGAAAGGCACATCCTCTTTAGCACTGCCTCTATAGATGTTTCTTATATTCAAAGACTACAATGATTCTTCACATTATTGCATCACCAAATGCTTCTTGAAACAGGAATCATATAATCATAAGACTGCAGTTAGTAATGGGAAAAAGAGAGTAACTCAGCTGAAGGCTCTATGATCAGAAAGAGAGAAAATCTCAGACCACTGAGAACGGTAGATCAAAGTCTGGACTTTATCCAGAAAAAAACCTCTTCCCCATAAAACTTACCCATCAACCACCATCACAAGCCAGGGAAATGAAATCAGATTCAGACTTCAAAAGAAGAACAGTGAAAAGGGGAGAACACTTTAGAGAAGCCTGAAACACTCACAGGGTGGACTTGAAACACTGGGCTATGAGACCCATGGTGCCTAAAGTTAAGAAAGATAACCCTTTATTTGGAACACTAAGCATATGTTAAAGTAAATCATCAGCATTGGTATCAGTATTTACCCCAAACAGGCCTCATTCATTCAATTTTTGTTACAGAATTGAGTATAAATAGCCTTCCATGCAAAGAACACAATGGGTTTCTATTTTCTGGGATCTGACATTTCACAATGAATGAAAATGAGGAGCCCTTTGTATTTATATTAGATGCACTGGGTGTTGAGTATTGATGAGCATACCATGTCATGTTCACTGCTTGATAATGGTCACTGTGTGCTCCAGAGGAAGTAACAGTTTTTCATTTCTTCATTCATGTTGCTGCATAATATGTATGTGTATGTGTATGATATAAATATTACCTCTTTCTATATTTATATATGTGTTCTATACCATATATACAGTTGTTCCCTCTAATGTTATATATACATGTATATATAGTTTCTATTAATATTTGTTATCTAAATACCTCATTCACACTTGTATGTCGAATGAGGAAATTTGAAAATCCTTGCTAAATGATCAAATAATACTTAGTTTTGTATTATATATGTTCCTGTTCTTCTCCTCATTCTTCTACACCTCCATCTATTCCTGCTCTCATTTCTTCCTCCTGTTCCCCCGCTGGAATCAAAAGATCTAGAAAGTTCATTGTCGCACTAGGCAATTGTGACAGTTGCCCTTTTGATCTGTTTTATGCTGTGTTCCTTATCGCTAAGAACAGTTTATCAGTAATTATTATATATTCTAGAGTTGGTCAGCCTAACATTGGAGCATATAGTGTCTAAATCTGTTGTAAGTTCAATATGTAAGTTCAACTATGAATTATTTTCCAAGTATCATCAATGCAGTTATTTTCTCCTGAATTTGATGATATTTATTATGATCTCCAGTTTGCATGGCATTCATAATGGGGAACCTGAGTGCTATTCATAGAATCTACTCTAAATACTGGACATTCACTATATCCTGGTCTCCATCATTTAGGGTACACTTAAATGATGTGCTGCATGCATAACCATGGGGAATACTACTACTACTAATAAATATTTCATAAATGGGATGTCATGTGTACATATCAAATTAGGACACTTTATATGTGAAGAGAATAATATTGCTATACCAAGCTAGTATCCATTAGATTATTTCGTGGCGTGATCTTCGGAAAAATGCCTAAAATACTTAATCAGTTGCATCGCCTTGGTGGAACCAGCTAAACTTTTCAAATCTTTTGCTTTAACAATAATGCAATGATCTATGACCTAATATCTACCTTCTATTAAAGATCTATGCAATGTAATCCTATTTTCTGTAGCATTACAGTAGAAATCAGAAAATTAGCACCTTCATAAACAGATGTGCAAAAAACAATTATGCTGTCCTACAAGATACAATATTCTGTAGCATTCAATTATCATATATTTATATGTGAAACATATATAATTATCTGAAAAAGAAGGTATGCTAAAGAGGGGCAGAAGCAAAATAATCTCCCTTCTGGGATGTCTGTATTTTTGTTCAGAAAAAGTTAGAATCAGGGATACATCCTAAATTTTGAAGATTAGAAGCATTAAAGTTCACAAGGGTAATTCACCATTAAAATATAATAATTATCATATTTTTGTCTGAATCAAGCCACTTTAATACTACTCCATCTTACATCTTTTGACCAGCTGTCCACTCATCCATGGGGGAACCTGGAAGCTTTCTTCCCTGAGGCTCTGCAGCTGAGGTCTTCTGTCCTGGTGAGAAACGAAAGATGGAAAACATGTTTGTGGATGATCTTCTTCACCCCAGGTGCCAGCATTTTCTCCTTGTCCATGGATACAAAGAATCAAGGGAGAAACTCCTGTTAGATAAATTTCTTGCAAGGGCTTTGTCAAAAAACTTCTCCAGGAACTTTTTGCAATTATATACAATTGCATCAGAAGGCTCAAAGGGAGGCATCAGGCAAGTTTCTGAGATGGCCCAACTCATTCAGGTTTCAAACAAGAACACACCAGGATCACACATTCCAAAGACCCAGAGGCAATGGGGCAGCTTCCCACAAACAGTGTCCTGGGTAGCACACATTGCCTTGATGCCACAGAGACCCCAAACTAATCCTGCTTACAGAGATACCCACTAGGACATGAGGTTTTCAATCACTGTGGAACCAGTAATCACCCTGAATTTGGAAGTTCCCATTCTGTATGTCAGGTCACCACATATTCAGTTGTAAAACAGGAAAGCTTTCCACATTGCAGTTCAACCATGATAATCCTATGATGACTGTTTAGGCACCTACAACCCTGGGTCGATGCTCTCATGAGAACTAGGGAATATTTGAGTACTTCTCACTTTTTACTAAAAAGCAGACAATACCAGCCAGAAGTTATGTATTATTCTCACCTCCACAAACACCAAGGACAGGATGATATCTGCAGACACCTATACTTCTTGAATGCAAGTGACTTTCAGGAATATTATGTAGGACACCATCAGGGAAGCTGTGTACTGTTAAACCTTTGCCAAACCCACAGAATGAACAACATGAAAGTAAACACAATGGATACCATGTCATGTAGGGAATGATGATGAGCAACACTGACTAATCATTTGTGTTTGCATATCAGTTTGAGATATTGCTAATGGAGTAAATCTAATAAGGAGGGAGACAGGAGGGCATTTAAGAGAACTCATTCTAAAGTTTGCTAAACTCAAATTGCTTTAAATGTGGTGCCTAATATTTTAAGCAAAACAAATTTTTCATTGCCTAGCCACTGCTCTGATGCCATTAGTGAGATTTTGAATAGTGGCACATGCAAATTGAGATGCAGAATAGGCACAAAATACAATCAGAATTCAGTAACTTGCATATAATGAAAATAAATGCCTTGATGAGCTAGATTTATTACAAATACAATGAAGAAACTTGTTGTATATTCAGTTACACAAGAAAAGTAAATCTAAGTCAGAGAGCAAGTATCTTCTATTCTCCCTAATGTGTGGAAACTAAAAGAAGTGTCAACATGAATGCACACAGTTCACTGAACAAAGGTTGGGAATGGAGAGGATGAGCATCACGCAATGAGGCATCTTCAGAAAGTTCATGGAAAATGTGTGTAATGAAACAATTATGCAAAAATTTCAAGAAATTTAACACCCAGATAGATTATATATGTTGATTTCTCCTGGTCATGGGATAATCTCATGTTGAGTGATTTCATGTTCTTATCCTTGACTCCTAGTTATCTGGGATTCCTACATTAATTTGCTCCAGTTTGATGGGGCATGCAAAAATATTCAACTGTTTGCAATCCACTTCCTTTGTTCCTGGGATTTTCTCCACAAGCTAATTCAGCAAAGTAATCTAAATTATACTGTTTGAAAATCCTCAGTGTTTTCTGGCAGTAATTCTCATGCTTTCTTTGAGAACAGAAAGGAATTTCAAATCAATGAACTTGCATTTGTATTAAATGAAGAAGGGAAATCCAAAAACACTGGGAAGCAGAATTGGGCAGAGGCTCCTATTTACCCTGTGTTGAGCTGAACACCACTGGCCATCCCTAGATCTACCAGGTAAGACATCAGAGTACATCCCAATAATCTCCCTGTTACAGTAAGTTCTCAACATGATTCTGAGGTAAGATTTATTTGAAGACAGTCAAATTTAGGAAAAACCCAGGATATTAACATACACAAAAACTTCAGGCATTGTCTAAATAATTTCTCTTCATGAGTCCTTCAAAAAGTATAACATACAAACTACCTAAAAAGAAAACTCAAAGTCTCAAATTATTGGGATTAGGAAGATCACACCATATTAGATCAACTGGATTGTCAGAACAAGGAGAGCAAACACATTAACTTCCTCATCAAATGCTGGAGATTCAGTGATGTCATATTTCTATTCCCAAATAAAAAAAATTCTACAATATACTGTTCAAGTAAGATGTAAATTTCCAGCCCAAGGGAGACAATGTACATTAGAATTATTTTACATTTCATGATTACTAGGTTCACCAAAATGGTGGGGAAGAAGCCAGGAGGACTCTCCCTCCTTCATGATTCCCCAGGGAACCCATCCCCACTACTGCCATATCATATCACTGCCAGGTGCTGGTGTTCATCCTCTGACCTCCACAAACACTACTGAAGGTGAAGGCAGAGCATCTATCAACAAGCACTCCTACTGTTTCAGTACACCCATCTGGCTAATTCTGATGCTAGGTAAGATCTGAAAGCACTGTTTAACAAAATATTAGACTATGAAAGACTTTATTATGAAAGACTAAATTAAGACTATCAGTGTAAAAACAGAGTACAGTCATTGTGTAAATATTTTGTTTATGTGCCACTCACAGAATGCAAAATACAAACCACCATATGCTGCAAATGAAATTTTAGTGCCAGCAAGATTAAAATGATCAGATTATAATCATATAAACTGGACAGGCAGAATAAAGACAGAGGGAAAAGTGAGTTAAGCTTCTCATCTAACATTGGGGAGTGAATGAACAGGACTTGCTATTCTGAATTTAGGATACTTGTACAATTACAAATTCTCTAACATCAAGTACACATAAGTGGAACTTTCTCAACTTAGTGGTGAAAAGTTAAGAAAATGAGTTTACTTCATAAGGAAATTGGATCTGGCCAAACCATGAAGCCACACTATCACTGGCCCATAGAATTCCCATGAGGATTCATCAGGGATGTTTCCACAGCTTTCCATAGGCCTAGGGGCTTTCTCTGGGGCTGTCCCTGGGTGGCAGAGCTGTGAGGAGTTGACAGGAGGTGAGGAGAAGAAAGCAGCTCTCTCCCAAGGGTCAGGGGCTATGCTGCTACATCAGAAAGCCCCATGTAACAAGCATCCCTCACTCTGGACTGGAAGAGGCAAGGTCAAGGCCACTTGAAACCACTGAGGGCTCCTGTGCAGGATGAGGCTCCTGCCTCTGCTGTTGCCTGAGAATCCTCACTTGAGACTGTGGTGCACCAGCTCTTGACTTGGCTCAAGCCTCAATCTAGGGGCTAGTTGCAGTACACATGAAGGCCTCTGCAAACACCCAGAGATGCTGAGAAGGTTGCAATCCCAGAGCCATACCATAAAGATCCCTGGAGGCTGCACTGTGGTGCACTAGTGTAAGGCTGTACCTGAGGTGCCAGCATCCTACGTGAGCGCCGATTCATGTGCAGCTGCTCCTCTTCTTATATAGCTCCCTGCTATATAACCAGGGAAAGCAGTGCAGGGTGGCCAAGTACTTGAGTCCCTATACTCAAGTGGGAGACACAAAAGAAGCTCCTGGCTCCTGGCTCCTGGCTTTGGAGCTGCCCAGCTCTAGTCTTATTGACCATTTATGAAGTGAATCAATGGATGCAAAATTCTCTCTCTCTCTCTCTCTCTCTCTCTCTCTCTGTCTCTCTGTCTCTCTTCTCTTGCCTCTCAAATATATAAATAAATATAATCTAATAAAACATTAATGAAGAGCCCCATGGTTCTCCCTTCGTGGTATTTAGCAAAGTTCTATGGAAAAATTCAAATGCATTGGGGCCAGCACTGTGGCACAGCAGGTTAACGCCCTGGCCTGAAGCACTGGCATTCCATAAGGGCACCTGTTCAAGGCCTGTCTGCTCCACTTCCTATCCAGATCTCTGCTATGGCCTGTGAAGCAGCGAAAGATGGCCCAAGTCCTTTAATCCCCACACCCATTTGGGATACCCAGAAGAAGTTCCTGGCTTTGGATTGGTGCAACTCCAGCCATTGCGGCAAATTTGGGAGTGAACCAATGGATGGAAGACCTCTCTCTCTGTCTCTGTTTCTCCTCTCTCTGCATAACTCTGATTTTCAAATAAATAAATAAATATTTATAAAAAATTTCAAGCCATCATCAGCCTTGGATGCACTCTTAGTGTTGTAGGGTAGCCCTGATCCCTTGAATGAACCAAGACCTGTGCAGAAGAGCAAGAAAAGACTCCCTAACACCCACCATTGTTACACTGCAAAGACAACGTGAATGTGGTTCTGCAGCACCAATATTTATCTGGTTTAAATGTAAGGGATTCCATCGGACCCCAGAAGACCCAAGAAAAGCATATTTGTGTACAGCATACTCTGAAATCACATTTTATAATTATTGCCTCTGAGGAATATGATTGTGCAGGGTTTATCTATTTTTCTTTATATCTAATTTTGGATTTAATTTCCCATGTCTAAATCTTGTACAATAAAGGGGTAAATGATGCTTCCACATGGAAAATAAATGCCTATATGTATCTACTTAAAATATAAACAGTCCTAATTTAAAACAGAAAAAGGAAACATGGCAAGTCAGAATAGAATAGATTCTTCACATAATGAATACACATGTGTGCGACTCAATAATTACTAATAAATCAAAATATCAATGAGACACTATTTGCAGATACCAACTCAGGCCACCCATTAAGATCATCAATGTGAAGGGAATAATATTGTTATAACTGGCTGGTATCCATCATCATAGTTCTGGAGGGTTCTGTGGACATATTCCTAAAATACTGTATCACATGTATTGCTTGATTGCACCAATTATATGGTCCATGATAATGGATTCTCAGAATCCATTGGCTTTAATCATAATGTGAAGATCGATGCCCTAATATCTATCTTCTATCAAAGATCTATGTACTGTATTCCTACTAACTGGATTATTAAAGAGAATCCAGTTAGAAAGTCAGGGACTTTCAAAAATTGGTTTGAGAATAAATTATGCTAGACCAA